AAGGGCTTACCGTCCGCTCCGCCCTCACTCTTGCTGTCACTGCCACTCTAAAAGGACAGTACCGTTATGTTTACAACAGAGCCCGCTTTCAGAAGACACGATGAAGTCAGCTACCTCTCCCCTGTTTGGCTTCCAACCTCAGGTATTTTTAAAAATTATTATTACAGCAAATAAGCTCCCACACACACCCCCAAGTAAACTAAAATGACATTGTAGATCAATAAATCTCCTTAAGGTGATGAAGTTTTGAGATTCTTTGTGTGTGGCGTGTGTGTTTAATTGTCTTAGCTCCCTTCTGTGAACTGAGAAAGACCCTCTTTTGTTTGCATGTGACAGATCAGTTAGAACTGTGGCAACTACCATTTACAGCTATTGATTTCAATGTGACATTAACGGCCCCAAATTCAACCATTATTCTCTTCAATTGTCACAAACAAAGGCTAATCATAGTTGAGTTTAGTCTGAAGGAATTGAGTAAAAATTGCCATGTGAAATTAGCACGTTGGTTCTTTCTCAGTCACAAGTCAGCACAAGGGTCTCTGTTCCCAAGATGACATATATATTATCATCATTTAAAAATGTTCCTATTCCCCTAAAGATATCTTTGAAATATAGAAAAGGGAATGTGGTTGCATAAGAAATCATGCTGCTTAAGATAATAAATAATTTAAAAATAGATGTCTCCTCACACGGAATAAAAACATCTTGTTTTGCTGCTTCTATTGTGGCACCGTAATGTTTCTTATAACTGTAAAAAGTAGTCTGTAGTATGATTAAACAATGTTTCCACCCTGTGTTCATGCAGAGGTCACCAGCTAGAGGGGAAAAAGGTTTGATTAGGTTTGTATCTTCCGTGAGAAACTTTAAAGGGAAGCATACAACATCTTTAATATATGAGTGTTGAAGCTACAAATGGTTTTCTCTTGTGGGCAGGTATGAAGCAACAAAGTCCCCTTACGCTAATAAATAGGCAGGAAATAGCTGATAAGAAATCATAAAGCTTCTCAAAAGCGATGGGAAAAAATTTGAAGTCTTCAAATATGTACTTCAACTTGATCTTATTTATGTCATGATTTACTACTTGTTTATTCCATTATTAAGTAGTGAACAAAGGTTCTACTTTCTCCCCACTGTGAAACTTTTAAACTACAGAACCTTATTTTGAAAGCCTGCAATACTTTTAACGATCACCATTATATCATCAATATTTATACAGTACTATTCAATTATTAGATGGGAACGACCATTTTTCTTTTAATGTAAAGGAACCTTATACCAAGTTAAGTGAGCTGGGAGGGCGCAGTAGTTAGAGCACTCAGCCGCTAAACAAAAAGTGGGCAATGGGAATGTACCAGTTGCTCCACGGTAGAAGGATGTGGTCATCAACTTCTGCAAAGATGTACAGAATTGACAATACTTTGAGCAATTCTGCTTTGTTCGATAGGGTTGCTAGGAGTAATAATTGACTGAATGGCTGTGGGATTCATTTGCATGAAACAAGTGAGTTTAGGCTCATTTATTTGCTCATTATTTCTAAAAAGAAATTTCTCAAATGTTAACCTCTATTGTCAGTAACCTGTTTAAGATCTCTTAGTGTAAGGCAGTATGAAACCAAATGTAGCTAATTCTTTGTGTATACGGACCAACATGATTAATGCCATTTTACATATAAGCTCTTCAGATAACAGTGCATTGATTCAATTCAAAATGACTCTATATGAGTGTGGTAGGAAAATTATTTTAACTACAAAGTCATAGCCTGTGTGCTCAAAATGAAAAAAAAAAGATAACCTTTAAAATAGGACTTGTTGGAATTATTATTTTCATACGTAAGACAAACTGTTATTTTTACATAAGCTTAGTGTAAGGTGATTCTATGGCACTCCTGGCTAGGGGTGGAGTCAAACCGGTCATGCAAGTGGCAGTTTGATGACAGTTCCTTGAAACGGTGACCTTTTGTATGAGAGTGAGTCACTCTGGGAGCCCTGGTAAGTGGTTCCAGATTGGGCGGTGATTCACGATCCGCGTGGCTGGCAGTTAGAAACCACCAGCAGCTCTGTAAACAGCCAGTCTCAGAAATCTACAGGGGTCACCATGGGTCAGCACTGGCTTAATGGCAGTGAGTTCCAGGGTTTTTGTTTTTTGGGGTTTTTTTTAGTGACACTTTACCTTCCTCCTTGCTGGGCCTTCACTTGGAGTCTGTGTCTGTCTCACGGGCGGCCTCATTTGGGCCACCTCACAGTGAGAGAGAGCCATTGCTGCCCTGCCAGAATTCCACCGACCTTGGTCCATGCACCAGCCAGCGATCTCCCTGCTTCCTACTTCACTTTTCTGCATCACTGCCTGCAGCGCCCTGAGTCTGAAGTGGGCCCTGACTAGCATCGGATTTATGGACTTGCGTAGGATTGGGCTGGTATGCCTGCTTGATATATAATTATTCCTAGATACAAAGCTCTTTTTATGCTTACATGAGTGTTCTATACCTACATGGATTTGTTTCTTTAGACAACTTGGCCTAACAAACCTTGTATAAAGTTAAAAAAATAAAATTTCCCTTTTGACATTTTCAGAGGATCTGAACACTGTTAGCATTGGTGTGTAATCTTGGTATTTAGGATTCTATGTGTATAGGCCAAACTAGAAAACTCAGTGCCAAGGAGCCAACTCCCAGAGGATTATTACTAAACAAGATATCACATTGCTTGCACTGTCTACTTGTATGCAGGCACACAAACATGTACTGGTGCTGGGTTGCTATGCAGGTTTGCCAGGGTTTTGTTGACTGGTCAGCAAAAGGCAAGAGGAGAAGAGGTAGTCAGTGGAAGGAAACTGACAGGGATCAAACACAAAAGAGTGGGGAGACAGGCTTCCTCACACACCTTTACAGCACAAAGGAAGACGAACAGGGGGATAGAATACGTGTTCTGATCGACGGAGGAGGCCAGAGGTATTGGAGATAACGAAATGGTCAGGGGAAGTGAGGCAATTTAAAGGACTCCTACAATGACTGAAAAGACCCTTGAGTTTGGGGTCTGAGACAAGACACAGCATGAAGTCTTGGGTAGTAGGCTGAAAGAGTGTCACAATATGCATACCGGAAAGAAGGGAGGACACCGCAGAGGACCTGCCAATAGCAGGGAACCCACCAGGAAGCCAGCCTTGGGGGGAAGCCCTCCATTGCTCAATAGAAGGTCTAGTATTATATTTTTACCCCAGCCTTTTTAGATTCGTTAAGAATACTTTGTTTGGACTTCTGTTCTAAAGCATTCCCCTTTAATAAACTCACTCATTATGTTCAAATCGTTGCTCGGACTCTCACCTGAATAGTATCTCTTGACTGAAATCTTTCTGGGGACTGGACAAGATGGAAACTCTGAGCATCCTCCCCATCCCAGTTTTCTTCCAAACAGTGTATGATGTTTAAACACACGTCTGTGACCAGTGCCTGAGTGCAGACACGTTCTCTCAGTAAGACAGTTGGCGTAGCCTGAAAGGTCCATTAACAGCCTCTGAGAAGCTAGCCATACCTCCCACACATCCATTGACTTTGGTCAAACCTGCCCTAGGTGTCGTCCCCGAGGGCTACGCTTCGTTCTAATAAAACCTCATGGGAAAACAAAGTCTGAGAATGGACTGGAATTTACCAGCGCTGGCTCAGCCAACACCAAGGCCAACCACGTCATGGGCGGTCTAGAATCCAAGCACAGGTGGGCTGAGAAGTGGAACCTGGACAACACGTCGATCGGGCCAGAGATCACGGTGGAAGACCAGCTTCTCAGAGGACTGAAGCTGACCTTTGACTCGTCCTTCTCCCCAAACAAAGGGAAAAGAATGCCCAAATCAAGATGGGGCATAAGCACATCCACCGCTGCTGCTGCGGTGGATTCCGACCTCCGCGAAGCTCTGGCGCTGGTTACACCAGCTGCCTGTTACCCTGAGAGCCAGAGCAGCTTCGCGGTCGGCTGCAAGACCCATGAATGCCACCTGCACACTCACGTGAATGGCGGGACAGTTAGGCGGCTCCATTTACCAGCAGGTGAACAAGAAGTTGGAGACAGCTGTCGATCTCACCTGGACAGCCAGGAATAGCAACACTCGCTTCGGAATAGCAAGCAGCCAAGCATCAGGTCAACCTGATGCTGCTTCTCAGCAAAAGTGAACTACCGCAGGCTGATGGGTTTAGGCTACAATCAGACCCGACAGCCAGGCCTCAACGACGCTGTCTGCTCTGCTGGATGGCAACAACTGTCAACGCCACCGGTGGCCACAAGCTTGGTCTAGGACTGGAATTTCAAGCACAAATGAATACTGTACATTCATTTAATTTTAAACTATTTTGCAGCATAGCTACCTTCAGAATTCTAGTGTACCTTTTATTGTATGTCTCAGATGCAAGTATAGTTCAATATCATGTTAGACTTCTAGGTGATTCGGCGTTAACTTGTCCCCCTTTCTGAGGGACAGGAGAAGCCCAGCTGCCAAAATGCCCTTCAGCTGCAGGCTGTAGGGGGCAGGGTGGACTTGGTAGCCCCCTTCTAGCAATGTCAAGTTTCTTTTTGATCTAGAAATAGCTGCAAGTGGAAGTTGCATTATGTGTAGGTACTTTGTAGTCTCCAGGGTGGGGTAGCTGGTGTGTGTGTGCGTGCGCGCGCGCGCGTGCACACGTCCACTCATGCCATTTTGGGGTGGAGACGGTAGGTGTGATGAAGCCACTAATTCAGGACTTTTAACTTCCACTCAGGTTGTGGTTTTGTGCCCTTGCACCAGAGGGTGAAATAGCTTCCCACAGCATCCCTGGCAGCAAGCTGGGAAGGGTCTTGGTAACCATGATCACAGGGTGACAACACCCAGAATCTCAACTGGGCTGATGTATTCACCATTCAATTTATTTTTTAGCCATTACATGGGCATATTGTAGAGTCTTCCATTTTGTGTGGAATTTAGATCCTATCCCTTTAAATGCTATAATTAACATCACTTAAAATAAAACTTGCATCCCGGAGCTGAATGGGAAACTGACTGGCATGGCCTTCCGTGTCCCCAACCCCAATGTGTCCATCGTGGATCTCACCTGCCGTCTGGAGAAAGCTGCCAAGTATGATGACATCAAGAATGTGGTGAAACAGGCATCTGATGGGCCCCTAAAGGGCATCCCAGGCTACACTGTGGACCAGGTTATCTCCTGTCACTTCAACAGTGGCCCCCACTCTTCCACCTTGGATGCTGGGGCTGGCATTGCCCTCAATGCCCACTCTGTCAAGCTCATTTCCTGGTACAGCAATGCATTTGACTACAGCAACAGAGCGGTGGACCTCATGGTCCACATTGCCTCCAAGGAGTGAGAGCCCCCCTGGACCACCAGCCCCAGCAACAGCACTGGAGGAAGAGAAGCCCTCAGCTGCTGAGGAGTCTTTGCCCCTAATTCAATCCCCCAACACACTGACTATTCCATCCAGACTCCCTGAAGGAAGGAGAGGGCCTTAGAGAGCCCAACCTTGTCCTGTACCATCAATAAAGTACACTGTACCCAGCTAAAAAAATAATAATAAAATAAAATTTGAATAAAATACTGAAACATCAAAAAAAAAAAAAAAGCCCATTCAAAACAGTGGCCTATTAAAGTCAAAGCACAGAGGCCAGTTAAGATTATTGCAACTGTTTGTGGGAATCCCAAAGGTTAGTCTTTATACATTTTCTCAAAGGACACAAGGCACAATGGGCCTATCATGAGGACCTTTTAAGAGAACAGAAAATTATTTTGGTGAGAAAAGGTCAGAAAAGTTGTACTGAGGATTTTACTTCCCCCCTCCCCACCCCTGCACCCCATTATGACAATGCACCTACTCATTCTGAAAGGTTAGCAATGGTCCTCCAAGGGCTCTCCTGTAAGCTGATACACCTAATCTCACCCCTTCAGGCTTCTTTTCATTGCCAAAACTCAAAGCACCAACAAAATAAACAGGATATTAAGGTGCCAGAACTGGTGCTTTAATCTGGGATAAATGGAAGAAAGTGGAATTCTTTGTGGCAAGGTTAGATAGATAGAGGCACAGTCTACAAAGGCATGTGTACCTAGATGGAGGATACACCAAGAAGCAAGAGCTTCACATTTTGATATATATATGTCTAGTAAAGGTTTCTATGATATTCTAGCAATATGTTTTTAACTTACTCTCATATATGAGGGGGTACCTCCCATAATTGATTTTTTCAAAGCTATGCATTTTCATTTTTTTAAAAAGAAACATTCAAAATACTCTCCATTACACTTAATACATTTGTCAGATCTGTGATTCCATTCTTGGAAACATTTTTCAAACTTGTCTATTTGAATGGCTGATAGCACCTTCCTCTTTTTTTCTTCACCTACTCACGTCGCTGTTTTTTCTTGTTCATCTTCATTCACAGAAACAAAAAGAAGCCACACTGAGCGATGTCAGGTGAGTCAGGTGAGTCTGGCAAGAGAGACATACTGGGTTTTGGGGGGGGATTTTTTTGCAAAACACTGGCATACTGAGATGGCTGTGTGAGCAAGTACATTGTCGTGGTGGCAAAGCCAGTCGCCAATCTGCCATAAATCAGGCCTTTTTTGTCGCACACCATTACACTACCTTTCCAGAACTTTTCAATAGGAAGCTCGATGAGCAGTCTGAACTAGTGGAAGAAACCCAAATGCACTTAGTCCACATTGACGTCCAGAACCAGGTTTGTCATCGATCAACATTTCACCTTTTTTGAAAGGAGAAAACCATTTGTGCACTTGAGTTTTCCTATAGTGCCGTCCTTGTAAGCTGTGCTCAACATCACAACAGTTTCTGTGGCATTTTTCCCAAGCAGGAAACAAAATTTCAGAGCAACACTGCTCTCTTAAATTGACCACCACAAAACAAGAGGCTCGAATGAAACTGCTTTAATCCAAAAATTCACTGTAACCAGATAGAACCTTCCCAGGCAATGCCGCTGGGTGCAGTAACTCAGAGTGAGTTGTTCATTGATTTTTTAGCAGGGAAGTATGGGGGGATGTATACTATGAAAGATCTGCTCCACCCACTGCAATTCCAGTGCTTTTTGGGTACCCCCTCATATACACACCAAACACACTGATATTTTAAAATCTTTTTATTTTGTTTCAAATTTTCCACTGAGTAACAAATATATATACCTTGTTATTTTTACAACTGGCAGAATGTCCACTGTAGGGGAAATGTCATAGTTCACCCATCTATTTGAGTGAAATTGTTTGCAGTATCACAAACAGTTCTGTACTTACACATGTTTATGAAAAGGCTGTTTTTTACTTAGAATTCTATTGCTGTCTAAAAGCATATGCCTTGCAATTCAATCAGATATTTAAAAAAGAACCTTTCTCAAAGGGTATTACAAGTTTACTTTCCCAACAAGAGTATGAAATGTCTAATTCCCTACACTCACCTATGCAATTGTACTGACCGTCAGTACTCATTGTCAATTTAATTGGTGCAACATTTAATGTATATGTTGCTTTAGTTAGCTTTTCCATGCTATCGGGTTGTGTGTTTTATTTTCCCCACTGCTTATAACAATGTTTCCCAGAGTGGGCAATATTGCAACCCGAGGGGCACTGGAATGATCCAGGAGGGGTGCAAATGCAGATAACTATACTTTATCCTAGATTATGGGTACAAAAGATTTTAAATGTCAGGGGAAGTCACGTTTCTTTTTGGAAAAGGTGGTGGTACGCCAAATAAATTTAGGAACCTATGGTTCATCCTATTGCCTACTCATGTAGAAAATACTTACTGGCCAAAAGAAGATGGAAAGTGTCTGAACTTAAACCTATAAAGGGATAACATTCTTGGCATATATGGATATTTAGCCTTATGGTGTCCATTCTGTTTACCATCCTCTCTCTTATCTCAACAAGATAGCCTCAACCTTCTCCCCTACATTGATGTCCATATAGAATGGTGACTTTCAAACTTCATCCAAAACAAAAGTAAAAAACAAACAAACAAAACAAAAGGCTGAAACCTTTGCACCAAACAAAGCTTCATTTTGGAAACTCAAAATAAATACTGAAGCCACATGAAATAAAACACACTGACATCAAATTGATCCCAAATCACAGTAACCCTGTAGGACAGAATGGAATTGCCCCTTCAGGTTCTGCGAAGGTAAATCTCTGTGAGCAGACAGCCTCAACTTTCTCTTGCCAAGGTGGTGATATATCCTAATTGCTTACCTTACAGGTAGCCCAATTCATAACTCACTATACCCCTTGATAGCTCATATTATATGCTGTATCTTCTTGATGTGTGAGGATGTAAGAAAATATCTTTTGGCTCACAATTGGAAAAGAACAGGAAGAAAATGATGGATACTACAATTGCAACTATTGTTCTCAATATGTTACATTTTTCTAAAGCTATTACATATACTTAATAGTTCCTGTGACTCTAAACTGAATAATATTATTAACCCCCTTTTACCAAAAAGGTAATGAATGCAAGTACGTTGATTTTGATTGTGATGTAAGTGTAGCACGCGTTGAGATTTGATCTACAATCTAACTCTGGAATCTGGGTTCTTAATCACCATAAAGTTTGTCTAATGCCTAAAGAAAAAGAACAATGCTAGGTTTTGCCCTTGTTGGTGTTAGGTGCTCTCGTCAATTACGACCAAGAGCCACCCGATATTTAGCCCGTGAAACGCCACCTAGACTGGCTTTATCCTCACGATTGTTCTTTGGTTGAGTCCACTGCTGCATTGGGCATCCCATTGAGAATCTTCCTCTTTTATGTTGTCCCCCACTTTACTTTGGAAGATTCCCTTTTCCAGAGAGTGGTCTTTCACGATGATACGTCCAAAACACTTGAGATGAAGTCCTGCCGTGCTGACTTCCAAGCAGCATCCTGGCTGTTCTTCTTCCACGACGTACCTGTTAGTTCTTTTGATGGGTCATGGCCCTTTCTTCACCAGCACTGGGCTCCCAATGCACCCGTTGTTCTTTGGTCTTCCTTATTCAATGTTCAACTTTCACATGAATATCAGGCGATTTTAAATACCATAGCTTGGATCAGGCACACTTTAGTCCCCAAAGTATCACCCTTGCTTTTAAACACTTTAAAGAGCTCTTGTGCAGTAGATTTATTTTATCCTATGTAAACCTTAACATGACGCTTTTCTATGTCCTAGATTTTTTAAACAAATGTCATTCATTGGAAAGTCTAAATTATGTAAAAATTATTATGTACAATATGTAAAAATTATTAGGTTAAAAATATGTAGAAATTTTACACATCTTCTGTCAGATACATTCTTGTTCATTAGACTTTGTTATATCACCAACGGGATTTAATGAAAACAAACAAACAAATATTATCTTTATATCATTAAGTTCTATGTCAAGTTAGTTCACGATTCTCAGTGGTTTGGCAGTTAGGGCCTGTAACCCCCCAAGATGCTACTTCACAGAGTGCTAGCAACTCCGTGATAGGATCAGTGTGAGCAGCCAAGCAGTTCCAAAAAGATTAGGGTAGAGTGCAATTGAAGAGATGTTTCCACAAGGGTCTGATCTACTCCTACAGGAATATGTGCTGTGGAAAGCTACTTCCTGTGTTGCTGGTGTGGATTCCGCAGCTGGTTCACTGGACTTGAGTCACTAGCCTGTCATACTGCCTGCTGATCTTGGGAGTCATCAGATCCCAGCATCTGACCCGCTTACATTTGATTCATCAACCACAGCATGCACCAACCATGTTCTTCCTGCTTGTCTCCTTGCTTCCTTGGTTCTCAGCCCCAGCAAATCTGTGACGCAAGAAAAACTTCCAGTTCACCATCTGACCCATGGACTTGAACCAGACTGGGTTTATCTGCTTCTATAATTGTCTGAGCCGTTTCTTGATGTACGTTTCTTTCACTGCACATACAAATTCCCTATTCTTACTGAATTGCTACTACCTCTACAGTACAATGTAGACTCAATAAACTAATATCTAGGTACTCTGTTTGATTCTTGATCTTAGAGAAATGGCTATTAATTTCTCAAATTAATCAAGTTTGATGTTTACTCAACACTTTAAGGATGTCTTTTCTTCATTCATAATTTTCTAAGGTTCATATTTATTATTATTAATAAAGATTGAATTTTATGAAATATAATTCTGTATGTATTGAGATGATAGCGTGATGTTTCTCCTTTCAGCTTGTTAATGTAATGATTCGATTAACCCTCCTATTTTCCTTTCTGTTGAACCAACCTTGCTTTTTTGAGATACGCGCTATGCTGTATCTGCTTTGACTTATGCAGCTTTCCTTTTCTTCTCAGTTGCTGTGTTCAGTGTATTAATTTTTTTTGGGTATT